AGCAACGTAGTTTTCTTAACATAAAGTTTTTGCCGGTAGTACCAAGGTTCTGGAATGAGGGTTACCATGAGTGCTATGAGGGCACTAGAAACGGATCTTGAGTGGTTTGGCGGGGTTGTTGAAGGGGTAGGAAAAAAGCGTAAGATCACAGGGGTTTCATACTATCAGAAAAAAAAGGAACTCACACAATAAGTAAATGATTTAGGCCCCTATGGTACTGCAATCCAGAACCGAGCAGCGTCGTAGTGCCCCTCTGCAGCTGCAAGCCAAAGGGGTGCCCGCCCATCGTTTGGATGGGACGCCTCCTGTGCTTTCGCCGGAGCGATGCTGAAAACCCTCTGTCTCGTTGTGCTAAATCCCTAAACCCTAAAGCCCATAAACCCTAAACCGCCTAAACCCCGTAAATCCTAAACCCTCAGCCCAAGGCGCTGAGAGCCCCCAATCCTACGCGCCAAACGCCGCGCCCCCTCCCACGTTCGCCGAGCGTCGATGTTGGCGCCAGCTTCAAGCAGAAGTCGGACTACGGAGAGATGGCCTGAACCCACGGCAGAAAGCACTTGTAGTTGTGTGGTGGTTTCTTTTTTGTTCTTTTGAAGGTTTAGGGTTTAGGGCCTCTTTTGGAGTCGCCCTTCAATTTTTCGGGTTTAGGGTAGTTGTTTATATATATATATACATGGGATTCTATCGGGTTTCTATGAACCCTGCTATAGGGGCCTTGAAGAAGTGTTGTTTATCATGGGTTTATCGGCTGTCGGATTCTTTGATATGAACCTTTACGGTGTGTGTTAAGGGTTTTTTTGCTTGGGCTTATACTGTTGTTTAGGGTTTGCCAAAAGGGCCATGCATAATCACTACAGCAGGGTTTCCGGGTGTTGTCTATTCGGGGTAGCTGCTGCTCATGACCCTAAACCCTAAACCCTAAAACCGAGACCCTAAACCCGAAACCCTAGACCCAAGCCTGAGAGCCACTAACGCCCCCGAAGTGTGAAGCCAAGCGCCCAGACTAGACGCCATGAACGCGCAGCTCCGGGTCTTATCCGATCCCCAAACCCTAAACCCCCGAGCCCCATACCCTACATGTTTTTAGCGTTTAGGGTTTCGGGTTTAGGGATGTAGACCACCGATTGCAATTCTTCAGGCATACAAACACCAAAACACCTTCGTTAAGTGGTGGCTTACCCATCAGCGGCTCGCGGTTGTTTTGAAAGGAACCTGGAGTCAGAAAGCTAACACCGTGCCAACCTCTAAAAAAAAGCCTTTTCATCTTCAGAAGCTACAAGCCTTAACCCTGAATTCGCGGTCCTACTAAACCCTAACCCTAAACCCTAAACCTAGTCCTACTGAACCCTGAACCCAGAGCCCTTAACTCCAACGATCCCAACCCTGACTTGGGGGTCAGGGCGCTTTAAGCATATTTGGTCTGCCGACTCCCCTAAACTCTAACACCCCTAAGCCCCAAACCCTACACCCTAAAACCCCCAAGCCCTAAACCCTAAACCTAAACCCTAAGCCCTAAACCCCAAACCCTAAAACCTCTAAGCCCTAAACGGCCCTAAACCCTGTCTGCTTGCTCTGTCCCATGGCTTTTTGAGTCCGTGCCGCACCCGAGATATGCACGTTTTAACCCGAAAGCCCCAGAAGCCACTCGAAAACATATGCAAAAACCCTTGAACTTTTCATCCCTCCGCCAGAGACTCCAAAACCCCTGAAATCAGGACTATGCCTCAAACTTCATCCTAGAGCCCCTGCACTCGTTACCATAATACATTAAACCCTATTCCTACTACCTATAGTCTCCATTGTAGTTCCTTTTTTTGGTTTAACCAATTATTTATTAAGGATGTTATAAGGTATCCCCAAAAAGGAACTACAATGGAGACTATAGGTAGAGATCCCCTACTTTTTGCAACTTAACGTAGATTCCTTAGCAGGAACCCAGTTTCGCAGCAGGGTTTTGGGGCGTAGGGGTTAATAAAGGCTTAGGTGTCAAGGGCTTAAGGCTTTAGAGTTTAGGGCCTTGAGTTTTTGGGGGTTTAGGGTTTAGGGGTTCAGGGATGTTTAGGGGGTTAGGGGAGTAGGGGTTTAGGGATGTTTAGGGTTTAGGGGGTAAACCCTAAGCCCTAAGCCCTAAACCCTAAACCGTTAGGGGCTTAGGGATGCTTAGGGCTTAGGGCCCTCTGAGGCGCTCGTCAAACCTGACTTCTTCGGTACCACTCAACGCTTTTCAATGACCCGCATAGCCAACCCATATACCCTAAAACCCCTAAACTCTAAACTCTAAACCCCTAAACCCTAAAGCCTGTATGAACCAGTGTTTCAAAATGGAACCTTTACAGGATGCCCTGCCACTTATCCTGTAAGACCTTGCCAAGACCCTCCAAAACCCCTAAGTCCTAGACACCTGAACCCCAAACATCCCTAAATCCTAACACCCCCTCCCCCCCTCACCTCGGCGAGCAGCGGCGCCCAAAGGGGTGCAGGGGCCTCGCCGATCTTTGTCGGCGCCGGACTCGAGGAGCAGCCGCACCTTCAGGGAAACCCTAATCTCTCTGTCAACCCTGAACCCTGAACCCTAAACCTGGGTTTTATAAAGGGTTTAGGGTTTAGGGCTTAGGGTCTGCGCGCAGGGCTTCGGGTTTAAGTTTGGTGCTTGGATTTTGGAAGAGCGGATTCTTCAGGGTTTTGAGGGGTTCTGATCTTAAGGATGTGTCACATGCTGTGGCAGTTTAAGATGTTTGGGGTTTTCCGGGGCGGCTAGTCCGTTTGACCAATCTTGTGGCTTTTTTTCGAAGCCTAAACCCTAAACTCTAAACCCTAAACCATAAGCCCTCAACCCTAAACCCTCAATCCTAAACCCTAAACCCTAAACCCTCAATCCTAATCCCTAAAACCTCAATCCTAAACCCTAAACCGCGTTTAGTCTGCTTCTGCTGCTCCGGCTTACAGGCTCAGGGTCACTTGGAAGTCTGGGTTCGAGGTTACTGTAATCAACTGCTTCCCTGTTGGGGCCACAACTAAAAATGATAGTGTTTAATTCTTTTTTGGGTTCTATTATAACAAAATAATTGAAAGCATGATGTTTTTAATGCTTTTTCGGGGTTTCGATTATAAGAAACATGTAAGAAATTGTATCCAACAAGGACCCAGTCAAGGTTTCAGGCTTAAGTGACTCCAGGCGTTTTGGACAGTTTTGAAGGGTTTCGTGGCTGAGGAGTTTCCCGAAATCCTAAACTGTTCGGGTAGGCTTTAGGGTTTAGGGTTTCGGGTATATAGAAGCCCGAAAACAGGCCTGCTCAGAGAAGTCCTGTTTGGAAAACATAAAGGCCCTAAAATCATAACTAAGCTGTAACAACACGAAACCCCAAGCCCTAAACCCTACCTGTGACCGAAAAGACCTACCTTTTTAAGGAGCTATATCTAGAAACCATAATAAGGAACCCTAAAAAGGTGGGCCTTTCCGGCTACAGGTAGTCCTTTCATGGGAATCCTTAGGATGCGGTACTTGTGCCCTAAGCGATCGGGCCAGTCATGTTTTGGGCCCCTTTCAAACCGGAAGTCTTGCAACACCCCATAAACGCACCTTAATCCTTTGCATCAACAACTGGAAACCTCGAAACAACCATTCCGAATTAGTCAGCCTCCACTAAGTCCTAAACCTTTTAGGTTCCTGAGTGACCCCTAAATTAAGAAGGGTGCCCTCTTTCCTGTTCTTCAGCTTTCTTTTTCCCACCATGCAATCAAAAGCGGCAAAAGGGTACTACTCAGGAAACAAAGGCGCAAAGGGTACTACTCAGGAACCTAGCCTGAAACCACAGCCTAAAGCCTAAACCCTAACCCCTAAACCCCTAAAACCCTAAATCCTGAAACCCCAAAGCCCTAAACCAGCCTAAAACGGCTTGGAGTAGCTCAAAAAAAGGGGACACCCCCCAATCGCCTGCTCGTCCCTGCCCTCCTCGCAAGACCAAACAAGGGGCGTCCGGCCCAAGGTGCCTGGGATGCCGGGTTCCTTTTTAGGGGGATTCTAATTTAAGTCACCATAGTAAAGAAGCCCGATCAATTTACTATAGATCCCGATTAAATTATGGTTTAGGGTTTAGGGGTTTAATTTAAGTCACCATAAAAAGGAAACCATATTATTTACTATACATCCCCATTAATTATGGTTTGGGGTTTAGGGGATCTAGTTTAAGTCACCTTAATAAGGAAACCCTATTATTTACTATAGATCCCCACTAATTATGGGTAAGACACAACACAGGAAAGCAGAGAGTTCATGCTGAACTTGGTTGGGTTTACAATTTGTATGTTTAGCTTTCTAGTCTACAAGTCTACAAAATCAAAACTAAAACTGTTTCCAAGTACCCCTAAGGAGTACACCAGAGCCAAGAGCACAAGTTTGATTGGCATCAGCTTCTGCGTCCAAAAGTAGCTGTGCAATGTCCAAGTGGCCCTCCTGCACAGCCCATGCAAGCGGAGCTCGCCCTTTGAAGTTCGTGTTGGCGAGCATGTCCTTTCAGGAGCCAAATGCGCACCCAAGTCTAGGCTTGCTTGGGGATATCCCTGCTTTGTTCTTAGCAAAAATATTGTGGCAACTTCCGACCGCATGGTTTAGGGTCCCTATCCTTGTCGACACCCGTCTCTAGCAAGAGGCGCACGGTGTCCAAATGACCAGCTGCTGCTGCTGTCGCAAGGGGCGTGTCGTACACAGTGGTGCCCTCTCTGGGGATCGCTTGCCTAGCCCCAGCATCCAGCAACAACCTCACAACGTCGACAAAGCCGCGCTCAGCTGCAACTGCAATGCAAGTCGTTCGGCTGTTCCTTGCTTGCTCTGGCGCTTGACTCTGATCATCATGGGCAACCAGTATAGCCGTTACCACGACTAACTACTTCTGAATCCCTCTGCCCCTCCGTCCCGATTGCCTTGAAGACTGTTGGTTCCATTAAAACAGGATCACCGCCACCACCATCATCATTTGCCCTCCAAGGGCTAAGGGCGTCATGGCCGTCGTCAAGGGCAATATAGAAGCCTGAATAATTACCTATACTATTTTGGGGGTTCCTTATTATAAATATAGTATAAAGGGGACCAAGACCCTAATTATTCTCATTATTCAGGCCCCTACATTACCTACCAGAAAAAAACACACCTCTTGCTTGTCGAAACCCGTGAATTCTGCTGCCAAGTCTCGGCTGTGTAATCTGGCGACGACAGTGAGAGGCGTCCTTGTTCCTGGTTCCCGATTGAGGCTATATTTAAATTAATAGGGTTTCCCTTCTTATGGTGACGTAAATTAAATCCCTAAACATAACTAATGCGGGTTTATAGTAGATCATTTTAACCCTTATTGGGTTTGTTTTAATATAGCAGAAATGTTAAAAAATGCAGCCAACAAGGGCCTAGGTCCCTTAGTGGGTTTTTATTGTTAGCAAACATTCGAAAAAATGCTCATGTCAAACCGTTCTTATTATAGCCCTAAACCCAAAACCCTAAACCCTAAAGCCAACAAGGACCAGGTTCGCCTTTGCTTCTAGAAGCAGCCTGACGATGCTGTCGTGTCCGCGCTGGGACGCAGCCCAAAGAGCTGGAAGGGTCTCGCCTGGGCTCTTGTTAAGGAACTTACTTTAAAGTTACCATAATGGGGATTCAGGGCTTAGGGGTTTTAGGGGGTACAGGGTTTAGGGTTTAGGGCACCTGTAGTTTCCGTTAATCTTGTTAGGGGATTCCCAGGGAGCCCAATACTCCTATACTATTAAGGCCCCCTATAATTTCAGGTATATTCCTTAATTAAGGGGCATTGGGCTCTTGTTAGGGGATTCAGTTTAAGTCACCCATAACAAGGAAACCATATTTATTTTTTATAGCCCATTATGGTTTAGGGTTGAGGGGATTCAATTTAAGTCACCATAATAAGGAAACCCTATTATTTGCTATAGATCCCCATTTTATGGTAACTTAAAGTAAGTCCCCAGAGGGCCCAATACCCCTTAATTAAGGAGTATACCTTAAATTCTAGGGGCCTTAATATTATGATTTAAGGTATGTTCGTTAACTAAGGGGTATTGGGCTCTCTGGGTTCCTTAACAAGAACCCTAAACCCTATACCCCCTAACCCCTAAACCCTAAACCCTATACCCCCTAAAACCCCTAAGCCCTGAAACCCCTAAAACCCCCACGAGCCCCAGTAACCCTAAATGGTAACTTAAAGTACATTCCTTAACAAGAACCGACCAGTCGCTGCCAAGGAAGTCAGGGTCCCGTGGTCTTCCCAGGATCTCCTCCACTAGAGCCTGGGGGTTTAGGGTTTAGACTTTTTAGGGTTTAGTAAAGCCTGGGGTTTAGGGTTTAGGGTTTTAGGGGCTTAGTTTTTT